TGAGATTGTGTGTGAGACAGTGAGAGTGAGTGTGTATGTGTGATTGTGTGTGAGACAGAGTGTGAGAGAGAGTATGTGTGAGACAGTGTGAGAGAGAGTGTATGTGTGAGATTGTGTGTGAGACAGAATGTGAGAGAAAGTATGTGAGGAGTGTGAGACGGAGTGTGTGCGTGCGTGTGCGCGTGTGTATACAGGGCGTGCAGATCTTGTCCATGGCACGGTGGGGAGCAGTGGGATATCTGGAGTCAGAGTGTCAGGGTTTGGAGCGGCCTGTTGATCCTGGGTGATCCTGGGCCCCACTTCCCGGAGTGTCAGGTTGCGGGTCTGTACAGTGAGGGTGTATCTCGTGGAGCTGTCGTGCGGGCTGCACGAGCTCTCAGAGCTAAGGCCGAAGTGCAGTGCCCGGCACACAGGACGTGCCCCACGGGTGGTAGCCGCTAGTCCTGTCAGCCTGCACATTCCACATGGGCAGGCATTGCGAGTGGAGAGCCCGGGCTGGGGACACATCTGTGTGAGAGGCAGGGGGGTGTGTGGGGGGGCCCTGGCTGGACCTCTGAGCCTCCTTCCTGGCTCTGTGACTGAGTGACCCTGGACACTTAACCCCTCAGTGCCTTGTTGTCCTCATTTGTAGAAGGGGAAGAGTGATGGCACCTACCTTCTAGGATTATTGTAGTAAGTTCTCAGAGTATGGTCCCTGGGGCATCAGCCCCACCGGGGAACTTGGTGGAAATGTGAACACTTGGGCCCCACTCCAGACCTAAGGAATCAGAAACTCTGGGGTTCGGGCACAGCCATCTGTGTTGTGAAAAGCCCACCAGTGATTCTGATGTTGGCTCCAGTTTGAGACCCACCAATGGGAAGGGCAGACACTTGAGAAGGAGCCTGTCACTTAGCAGGCTTGCCTACTATTTGTGCCTGGGTTTTGAGACTATGGCTGGGGCTGCCTTCCACCTCTGTCTAGCTTCTCTCTCCTTTTTTGCCTTAAAACTCTCCTTTACCAGCTCTGCACCAGCCTCTCAAGGGTGGACTTCGAGAATCAATCGACCACATCTATAAAAGTCTGAGCTTCCTGGAAGTAGTTGCCCCAGAGATGGGAATGCAAAGGGTTATTATTTGAACTCTTTCTATCCCCTCCCTTCAATCTGGGGTCCTCAAGGACCTGGTAAGCATCACTCACCTTGAGAGGGCAAACGGTGGGAGATGAAGGTAGTCCTGCTTCTAGAATCTCCCAGCACCTGCTGCATGCAAGCCCCCAGCCCACACAGGTCTCCAGCCTTTGCCTGCAGACCTCTCCCTACATACCACTCTTCCTCAACACTGCGTCCCCAGAGCTGGCCATTCATTCATTCATTCATTCATTCATCAAACTTTCCTTGTGCCCCTACTGTGTGCCAGGCCCTATTCTAGGTGGTGGGGTCAGAACGGAACAAAACAAAGTTCTTGCTTTTGTGGATCTGGATCACAGTGGGGGAGAGAGAAGCAAGCAGTAAGTCAGTAAATAAAATCATCTTAGGGTAGATGCTCACTGAACTCCATGAATGAACAGAGCATGCAGCACCGGGCATGTGCTTTGGATCCAGCAGACGTGAACTCCGATCCTGACCTTGCATCTTCTGAGACATGAAGTTTAGGCAAACCCCTAGCCTCTCCTAGCCTCAGTGTCCTTGTCTATAAAATGAGAACAGTAATAGTATCTACCTCAGAGACAGCTAGGAAGATTAGGGGAGTAAAATACTAAGCACAGTACCTGACACACAGTGAGTACTCCGTGAAGTTAGATGTTACTGCTATCATTATTCGAGGTGGCAAGGGCTCAGCTGGTCCTCTGCCTAGAGGTTTATTCACTGGGGCATCCATGGAGTCCCAGGCCTGGCAGGGACCCCAGTGATGGGCTAGTGATCTGACTCCTGATTGTAAAGATCAGGCACCTGAAGGTCAGAGGGGGTTCTGTGACTTGGCTCAGGTCCCACCACAAGTTGAAAGCATCCTCCTGCTGATGGGCAGGGCTCAGAACCTTTTGCCTTTAGAGGAAACAGGCAGGCAAGCAGATTGCCTAAAACAGAACTTCCCGGGGGCCTGCAAAGTCTTCTGCCTCCCATCTCAATACCTATTGGGCATCATCACCCCCATCCTTCCTGGCACCCTCCAGAAAAAGTACCGTGTTTGGGGTGGAGATGGGGAGGGGAAGCATCTGTATCTTCCATCCTCAAAAGTGCACTGTGTGCGGTCCCGCTGACTCAGGGGATCTGATCTCACTGCCCCCCACTTCTTCTCCTGCCCCACTCTGTTTTGTTCTGCGCTGACCCCCAGACCTTGCACCAGGTCATCCTGAGCTAGAACTGCGCCAGCAGACAGACCTGGGTGTGCATCCAGTGTACCTCGGGCTCTAGCACTGCTCTTTCTCCATCTGCCCCTCCGTCCTCTGTCGTAGGTGACCGCTTGGGCAGGCTTCGACACACGTTACCACCCTGCTAACAATTCTCTCTCTCTTCCCACCCCCAGCGAAACAACCTTCTTGTCCCTTTCTAGACATCCCTAAACCTCCCAGCCTTGTGCCTTTGCTGAAACCCATGCCTTGCCCCACACTCCCCCAGGAACACCCCCACTCCCTACTCCGGCCAGTGGCTTCCTGTCCCCAGCCTCCCATATGCCTACACACCACGGTCTCTCCCTCTCCACACCTCTCCCCCTCCTCCACACCTTCTTGGTATTGCCATTCCTTTGTGTACATATACATAGAACTGTAAGCAACTTGCTGCTAGAATAGAAACAGGATCATAGCCGCTGTTGGCCGAGTACTTGCAATGTGCTGGGCGCTGCGCTCAACATGCATCGGGTCATGGAATCCTCAGGGATGCCAGTGGGCCATATGTTGTCATGCCCAGTTTACCGATGAGCAACTGGGGCTCAGGGTTGCTGAGCCGCTGCTCTCGGGCACCCAGCCAGGAAACAGTGCCTCTGGGAGTAGGGTTGAATTCATCTTTACCTCCCTGACGGCCTGGCACAGGCTTGCTACTCAATAAACGTCTGTTGGATCTGTTGGAAGAGTTGAGTTAGCTCTTTAAGATAGGAGATGGGCAGGGAGGGAGGAAGGGAAGCAGCCTAGGATCTGGCCTGGTTTTTCTTTATCGTGAGGTTGCTTGTGAGCAGCCAACCATGCAGACCCTGCCTCCGGCTTGCTTCCCAGCTGTGGCATACTGGCTGCAAATGAAAATGGGAGGCAGGTCTGGAGGTTTGGGATGGGGTCCTAGGAGGAACCCTGGTCCGGGGTGGAGGTGTCTCAGTGGATTGGTGAGGAGGGGCTGTTGGGAGATGTGCCACTCACCACTCACCGGAACCGCCAAGACCAGCCACCCACTTCTCTCCAGCATTTTCCGCTCCAGCTCCTTTAAAATCACCTCCCCCCCCCTCGCAGCCACAGGAGACATAGCTGGCACTGGAAGGCCAGGCGACTCGCTGCATCTGACCTTGCTCAAGTTTCTCCGTTTTGGTCTCGGGCATAAAACTTTAATAAACTACACCCACATTCAGAATCCTTTTAACTTTCCCAGAGCAATTTTGTGTCAATAGCCACTTAATTTTCACAATGAGCCCAAGCGGGTCTTAGGATTAAACTGTGCACCTCATTTGGCGGGCACGGGAACTGGGTGTAGAGAGGCGCCGGGGCCAAGGTCATAGCTGGGGAAGCGCAGAGAGGAAGCAGAGCTTGGGGGGGCTGGTCTTTACACTCGGGCAACAGATGTTTATTAAGTGCCTGCTTTGGGGCAGGTGTGGGGTACATACTGGATATAAAAGGGTGAAGACAACCTAGTCCCTGTTTTTTAAAAATTTAGGTGACAGACACATATCATATACAGTGCTGACTCTGTGCCAGGCACTATTCTAAACCCTTTACACATTAACACATCTAATCCTCATGACAATCCCATGAGATAAGAGCTATCATTATCCTCAGTTCAGAGATGAGAAAACTGAAGCCCAGAGTAGTTACTTGAGTTGCCCAAAGTCACACAGCCAGAAGGTGGTAGGGATTTGAGCCCAGAGGCCAAGCACCTGCACAGTTTTCTCTTAGGTTGATGGGAAGGACCATCACGAGGTGCGACACAGCTTACTGGAAAGAGCTATTCTAAATCCCTGCTCGCCCACTTATGCCCTAGCTCTTTGAACGGGCTAAGCTCCCCAGCCTCAGTTTGCCCATCTGCAAAACCGAGGTCACTCTCAAGGCTGTTGGGATGCTAAGAAAGATAATGCTGCTGGGGTGTGTTCTGTGAATGTTAGTTCCGAATGGAGAAGGATGTGGGATGGTGGACTGGCCACCATCCCCTCACCTGTTCTGACAGCAAAGCTTGAAAAGCAAGTCAGGGCCAGATATTTCTTTTCCTGATTCCCAGCTGATTGCTGGCTGGCTGTTTTTCCTGGCTCTCCTACAATGCGGGAAGGGTATATTTGGGTGAAGCCCAAACAGGCTTTTGAAACCTGAAGTTACAGGATACCAGGACAAGATGCTAAGGAGGATAGAAGATAAGGAATTTCCATCCCTGGAATTTGAGAACATGAGAGCCCCCAGGGTCCTTGGGGATCAGTTGGCCTCATCTCCTCAGGTTACGGTTGGGAGACTGAGGCCCAGAGAAGGACAGAAATGGCCCAAGGTTACACAGCCAATGTGGGCAGAGCTGGGACCGGAACCCAGGCAAAAGAACAGGCAAAGTTCAGGGAAAATCCCAAATTCTCCTTGATTCCCTACACAGTAGGGAGGAAAAGAGAGTCTATTCCTTTTGGGTTGTTCAAATTTAGAAAAACAAAATGTCCCAGGTGTTTTGTGTGTGTGCCTGGCTTATGTGATAGAGCTCTCAGACCTAATGCATTGCCTTTTCCTTCTAATCCTGGGGAGTGGGGGACCCCTCCTCTCCCTCTCAGGTGACAGAGATAGCTCCAAGCTTTTAGCATCCAAACATCCCAAGATCCACGATGTGCTCTGGCCCCAGGTCATGGCTACTCACCATCGACCCCAATCTTGCCGTCCCCATCCTTGTCTCCAGCAGCCATCAGCGTCTTGGTTTCTTTCATCGACAGGTCTCTGGCATCTGGGGAGAAGCTCTTCAGGATGAACCTGGGGAGAAAAGCCAGGGAGGGAGTCAGGTGGAGGTCATCTTGCAGGAACAGCGTCCCGATGGTGGGCCGGCACCTGCGCAGCTGCAGTGGGCGACTGGGGGAGGCGGCAGGCAGCGGGCCTGCACGCAGCTGTGCTGAGCCGGGCAGCCGGGGCTGTGGCTGTGTTTTCACGGGTGGGTGTGCAGGGGAGGGACGGGCTGTCCTCAGCAAAAGGTCGACCTCACTCCAGGCAGGGCACCTGCATTTGTTTATTTATTCAGGCAACCCGACAAACGCAGAAGTGTCTTCTCTGCACCGGGGCCGTGCTGGAAACCGGGGGCACAGAGAAGGAAGCCACCCGAAAAAATGAGGAGGCAGTCGAGTACTCAGAGAGAGACCACACAGGGTGATGGATGCAATGATGGAAACAGAGAAGGGTGCTCAGAGGATGCATCCAGCCCACCTGGAGTGAGAGGAAAAGCTAGGGAGGCTTCCTGGAGAAAGTGATGCCTGGAGGACAAGTAGAAGTCAGCCTGTGTGTGTGTGTGTGTGTGTGTGTGTGTGTGTGTGTGTGTGTGTGTGTAGGTAGAAGGAGAAGGTTCTAGACAAAGGGTACCCTTGTGAGATGGTTTGGGGAGAGACTGGATGGATAGGGAAGTCCCTATGGAAAGGTCTCTCTCCACACCCTCCCCCTTCTCTTTAGGACGAAATTCAAGGCCATCTTGGCCAGAGGGTAACTTAAGGCACAGCTGGGTGGGCAGACATGAGCCAGGTGCATTTTCCTAGTCGTAATCTTCCCCTCCTCCGCTTTGCTCCCAGAACTCCTGACCCCCAAAGTTGGTTCTGCATCCCCCACCTGTCCAGACAATGCTTAAGCTGCACTGGTACAGAAGTCGGGCTGGGGGGGGGTGTCTGCAGGATGATGGATGGTGCCTTTGAGATAAATGACAAATCAATGAAATAAATACTCAAGCTAGTGCTCCCTGTCTTGCACATGGCGTTAGGCATCCAGAAAACCTGCCTCTTTGTGTGTATTTAATTATTTAGTAGCATCATCCCATTAGCAATATTAAGTGGCTATAATTTAACCTAGTTAGTTGCACTTTCTGCTGCCGATTTTATTCTTCCGGAAGCAACCGGGTGAGGCACAGCTGTTTTCTGCCAGTGGTGCAGAGAGAGGGCCAGATCTGATGGGCACTCGGAAGCAAGAGTCCCAACCCCCACTCCCTCTCAGGCTGGGCAGCCCTTCTAGGCCTCAGTTTACCCCAGCTCATCCTCCTCGATGAAGCCGCTCTTGTCTTTATCCAGGATGTGGAACACCTTCTTTACGTCATCCGGGCTCTTTTTCTTCAGGCCGACCATTTGGAAGAACTTTTTGTGGTCGAAGGAGTCGACAGCTGTGGGGGCGGGGTGGAGAGGAGTGGGTTAAAATGAGGACAAAGACGGGGCAGTAGGGAGGGGCAGGAGAACGGGGTGTCAAAGCATTTGTTGATTGAGCCCCCTGTGCCAGTGCTGGGGGGTGGGGGGTGCCTCTATGGGAGGGTTGAAGGAGCCCAGACCAGCAGACAGTGCTTGGGCCAAGGTCACACAGCTAGAGGTAGAAGAGGTAGACTTGCCCCCACTCTCCGCTGTACCCTTCACTGAGAACAGGGCAGCCTTTGAAGGCAGAGGAGCTTCCTGGGTTCCATGAAGGCTTTGGGGTGTTGGGGGTGGGCAGGGGAATTGGAAGTGGTGTGAACATGGGGTGTGCATGTTGGGGGGCGATCGACCTTTTTTCTGGGCCACATAGATAGTAATGCCAGAAAATCGACCGACACAGGGAAGACAAGTTTCTCTCAAGGTCATATAGTGGGAGGAGGAGGGGGAGGACCCAGGAACCCTGGCTTTGCCACAGGTATCAATTCCGGTGGGAGTTGGGGGAATGTTGGAAGGCTCCCCAGAATTCCCACTTAAGTTTCTTCTCAGAGGGAGCAAGCTGGGTCAAGGAGTTGTGGGTGGGTTATCCCAGCACCCTGGGAGGGTAGCCTCATACCCTGAGGAGGGGATGCCAAGCAGAGAGGAAATGGGAGGCCCCCTCCCCAATTTTCTGTGTGCTGAGCTCCCTTTCAGGAACACCCGGAAAGGGTACAATGTTAGAATAATATAGGTGTGTGGCAGGGAGGGGTCCTGTTGAGAGTCATGTTCTCCCCTCAGCCTTGAGCTGAGGGAAGGACCGTTCCTCCGTCCACCTCTGACACTAAGGAGGGGGACCAAGACCTGGAGCTGACCTTAGCTCTAATCCCCCTTCTGCTGTGCTAAGTGACCTTGGGCAAATTTCTGGTCTGCTCCCAGCCTCAGTTTCCCCACCTAGGTGAGGGAAGGGAGGAAGCAGGTAGGCAGCTAAGCGCTCAAGTCCAGGGCAGCTCAGAGAGGTTAGTCTGCCCGCTCCCCTCCTTGGGCCGTCTACCGAGGCTGGAAGTTGCAAGCTGAGGATGCTCCCGCAGAATTGGGCAGAGCAGAATGCCAGCTGTGGGAAGGTCACCGCATTCGTTCGCTCGATGGTCGGTGGTGGTGGTGGTGGTGGGGGGGGTGCTCTGAGCCCTAGAGAGGGGCTTGGACTGCAGGGGAGCCAACCACCGACAGCTGAGAAGAGTCCCGTTCTGAACGGGGGTCTCCGAAAGGGGCTGTTTAGAGAGGAGATGTGCGCACCCGCACCCCTCCAAGTGCCTTAAAGGGGAAGTATCAAGCGCCCACAAGGACCTGGGGGTCCCGCTTTGGACCCCGGTCTTTGCCCTTTGTCCGAGACCCCGAGTCCTCGCAGCGCGGCCACCCGGCCTTTGGCCCCGACAAGTTTCCGCTGTCGGGCAGAGCACGGGGCCTCCCCACCCGCTCCCCGCGCCAAGTCCCGCTCCGGAGGAGTTTGGGAAATGCCGAGGAGCCCCCTGCTCCGTCCTGCCAGCGCCCCGCCGGATGCTTGGGCAGAGGAACGCTCCGGAGGACTGGTCAGCCGCGCGACCCGCGGGGTGCTGGGGCCAGGGTAGCGGATCGGGGGAGAGGGCTGGGGAGGGGAGCGCGCTGCTCACCGGTAAAGGCCCCCACTGCCTTCTTGATGTCCTCAGCGTTGAGCAAGTCTGTCATCGACATCCTGCAACTGTTTGAGCGGGCAGAGCAAGTGCGAAAAGATTAAAAAGTGCTTTTCTCATCATTTCTGCTCATATGACCAGCGCTGCAGTGCTGCGCGCCGGGCGCACGCCCGCGGGCCTGGCGCAGAGCCAGGGGG